GTTGATCCAATTCTCTTGTTATTTTGTCTATTGTGAATTGGTATTTTTCAACTACATTATTTAAATGGGCTATATCTAGGATTTGTATTCATGGATGCCATGAATACCATTAAGGGGGTTACATACTAATAAATCAGCAAAAAATCCCTTAAAAACACTTGATTTTAATAGCATGTAACCCTGTGTGACATCCTTATGGTATCCGTGAATACAAACCCTAGCTATATCTTGAGATTCATCAATTGTTTCCGATATGGCTTTTAGTGCATATTTGAAACAATGCTAATTTTTGTTCCAAAAAAATATAATTATTAGATCCTGACAAATTTACATACTCAACCAGTGTTGGAAATTCAATTGTGTCAGTTATACAAATTTGTTAACTTTTTTGCTAAGATAGTTTGCAAATTTGATTAGTGCACATACCCTGCACATCTGAATTTCCAACACTGTATTTCAATAAGAATTATGAGAATGGAATTTACTTACTAAATAAGGTGATGGTGATGGTTGAAAGATATAATAACCATTGTTATTGCTATAACTATTATTATCACCATTGTCACTACCACCACTGCTACTGCCATTACTAATACAATTATTATCCATAGTAGTGACATTACCATTATAATCTATAGTAATACTAGTGTTATTAAAATTATTTATAATATTATTAGTTCTAGTGATATTATTAATTAAACTTTGATTAATATTAATGGCTTTAGCATTAGCAGCCTTTTCAATTTCAGTAGCCGTTGTTTGAATATCTTTAACATTGCTATCTTCCTTTCCATCATCGTCACCATCACTATTTTGTGTTAGATTGATAAAATTTAATTCATTCTCTATTTGAATTATTTTTATTCATAATGCTACAACTGCCATTATTGTTGCTGCTACTAACACCTTCCATATCATCATCTTCATTATCTTTTCTTTTGGTGTTAAACAAAAATGAAATTAAAAAACAATATTAGTTACAGAGAATATAATTCATTTACACTATATAATAACAAGTTGAACACAGACTTTCCATCCAAACTTAATGTTAAACTAGAGTGACGAGTGGTGGCAATAACCACCACCACCATTCTTACAATAAACAACACTTACCCATGAATAATCTCTTGGTTATGATGGTCTACATGACTTCTCTTGTTTGTTGTGAATGACATTTTTGGAAAAAAAGTTTGTGATTTGATCAACGTGTACACATTAATTATTTATCCAATTGGTTTTTTTTTTGGTAGGACAGACACAATTGATTTTTTTTTTTTTTTTTTTTGGAAAAACAATTTATTTTTTGACAGAGTCCAAGATGACAAAACTCGAGTGATGTTATTTGGCATGATTGGTTCTAAAAAGAAACATGTTAATAACCAACCAGAGGTACCTTTGTTTTAATTTGCATTGATATGTCTTTTAAATCAAAAACACGGAGCAGATCTCACTGGGTAATTATAATATTCTTGGTGATGATAAACAATTGGTATTTGGCTTTTTGTAATCAATTACAAGATGTCAAGGCAGCACAAGGAAGTGAATCATTTGATATTAATGTTTGATTATTGGAAAATTAGACAAGTGTTGAAGCATGCTACCCTGAACACTTTACAGTCATTCTCTTACGTTCCTCATGTGCACAAGGCTAATCTGACTGAGTCACCCTCAATGATATAATGATGCAACAGAATTCCAGGGGAGGGATGTTTGGCCCTGGGGTTTACTGAGACTGCATCAATCATCAAGGATGCTTTTCACTAATCTTCCCTCACAGCACCCAGACCAGAGAAGGCTGCTGACATGCTAGCCGAAAAGTTGCCTGCAATGATCCTACCTCTAGGGTAAGTATGGCTCTGTGACCAAGCTGTCACAACTCTGGAGGAATATTAAGAGAATCTGCAGCTCATTTCAAGCATGGGAGGTTGCAATTCAGAGCAGGGTTGGCGGCCCTGAAATTGTGTTTGGGCTCTGATGTTAAGAGGAAAGTTGTAAAATAGTATTTATTTTGTATAATCATTTTCATACATTCTCTGTTTCTTTGATACTGACCAATTTATAATTTTGGGTAGGGGACTGGTCGGATCAGAGTTGACACTCCCATTGGACTGGACCATTGGACCTATTGGACCATTGGACTGGACATGTCCAGGTCCAATGCTCATTGGACAT